GGGAGGAACCTGCAGGCAGAGCCTGGAACGTCGACCCAGTAGGAAGTGAGTGTCCACCTCTGCCTTTTTCCTTTTCCCTCCAGGAGGACCGGAAGGAAGGGATGACTGCTTTTGTGGAGAAGAGAAAGGCCAACTTCAAAGACCAGTGAGAACTGGCTGCCTGTGCTTCCAAACCTCTGTTTCGAGAGGAAAAATACAGCCTGTCAGTTTCAGAAGCAAATAAATCCTTCTCTTTTAAACGCAGCGTCAGTGACACACAGCTTCTCTCTGGCTGTGCGGGGCTGTGCGGGGCTGTGCGGGCTCACGCTCTGCCGGTTGGAGGTGGCCTTCGCCTGGTGTTGCAAAGGCCCCCGCTCGGTCGCCCGGTGGATGTGGCCACTCAGAGGGAAGGCCTCACTGGGGCCATTAAAGAGTCGCGCTCTTGACTAAAGGATATGCTTTTCTTTTAATTATCTCTAGGTTGAGTGTTCTATCACTTTTTTAAAGCCTCTTTGTTATTATAAGTAACAACATTCAGGCAGAGAAAAAGCACCCCACCCCACTCTAAGCACAACCACTGCTCATAGGTTCATAGCTCTCGAAAGATTTTTCTGTGCCCACACCCAGGGGAGGATATAGCTCAGAGGTAGAATGTGTGCTTAATATACATGAGGTCCTGGGTTCAATCCCCAGCACCTGCATTAAAGAAAGAAAAGAAGAAGAAAAACACTTGGTTTTTCTTTGTACAGAAATGGTATTCCGTGTACACACTTCTGCAGAGCGCACCCATCAGCTCTCTGCTTCTGTCATACAAATGCATCCTCGTCTCTTGTTAGACTAGCATTTTTTCTTATTGTGGTAAAATATAACAAAAAATTTGCCATTTTAACCGTTTTAAATGTACATTTGAGCAGCATTAAGTGTTCTTCATCCATCTCCAGACGGTTGCATCATCCCAAACTCTACCCTTTGGACACTAACTCCCGGCTCCCCTCCCCCAGGCCTGGTGACCCGCTTTCTACGTTCTGTTGCTGCATTTAGTGTAATACTTCCAAAGTCCATCCAGGTTATAGCAAGAATAGTTTCATTTCTTTTCATTGCTGAAACCGTTCCTACTAGTATTTCTTTCAATGGCCCTGAAATATTTTATAATAAGTACATGTAATTTGCTTGTTTGCATGGTGTTGGATGTTTAGACTGTGTCCAGTTCCTTAACTCAGAACCACCGTGTACGACAGTGTGGTGAACGTTCTCCACGTGAATCCTTGCACCTCAGTGTGAGCACGTCCTTGAGGACAAGGCCGCGGGTGCACCTGTGGGAACAGGGCTGTGGTGCCTGCCCGCCCGCGGCAGCTGGTCAGCAGGGCCTCTTCTCTGGTCTCCTCTGTGCTGGGCGGGCTGAGTCTCCAAGATTGATGTTAGGACTGCTTGCATCAGAATCCCAGGGGTGTTTGTTTAAAGTGCACGTTCCCAGACCTGGCTCAGAACTAGGGGAGGCCCTGGAACCCACAGTCTCTGGCACAGTGTGGTCCTTCATGCCATTTGTTGTGGGAGAGTATAATTTATGCACCAAGTTTCCTTTGGTGGCTTCAGACTCCAGGAAGGCCTCACAGGACACTGGGTGACCAAGTGACCAGAGTTACAGGAAACCATCTCTGCCCCCACTGGACATCTGTTTAATTCTCAAGTCACAGCCCAGCTCGGAACACTTAACTTTCCATTTTACACCAGATTCTCCAGCAAATGTCCAGTGGGAGAGTCACACAGGTCTGGAGCGTGGGACTAAGGCCCGTGTCCTACTGCCTAGAGGGCAGGTGAAGGCGGCAGTGGCTGCTCTGGGTCAGAGGCCCCAGCATCAATGTCCTCAGACCCTCCGAGCTGAGGCCTGCACAACCACATCTGCATAAGTGGGCGCCAGGCGGCATGAGGCCTCTGCTGGCCCTCGGTGCTGGTGCACACACAGCAGCTACAGATTAACAGACGGGCCAGGTGAGGGGTGAGGCCCTCTGACTGCCACGTGTCCCCCACCCCCACCCCATCAGTCTTGCTCTGCAGAGAGAGTCCCACCTGTCAGAAGCACAGTGGGTTCCACTCAAAACCCAGGGCAGAGCTCTGCCTAAGAAGGGTTCCACGGTAAGATGTACACCTGGCCTGTCAGGACCCAGGCCTCGGAGCCCTCCTCCTCCGGGGAGCCCACCATCTAGCAAAGACCTGAGAGCACCTGGTACAGGTGTTTCCTCCGCCTTGTCCTACAGCCAGGTTTGGGCAGGTAGCATGATGACAAGCCCAGCAGAGGTCATTTTTGCAGGTGTGGATTGCAGTCATGGCGTTGGGCCGGGCTGGGGCTGGGAGTGTGCACCCTCCCCACCCCAGGACCTGATCTGAAGGCCAAGGAGAAACCCACTTGCATGTGAGGAAGAGCTGAAGTGGCCCGTGAGGCTTTGGCTGCCTGAGCACCACGACCACCTGCCCTTGTTCCGGTTGTTTGTACGGGTTGGGTGGGGGCGCTCTGCGGTCTCCCCTCAGAAGGCTGCTCTGCCCTCCTGCTTATGCTGCCAGTTTGAGAAAGAGGCAGTGGTGCTGTTATGTGACAGCACCCTCCCCAGACACTGAGTTCTGATGAAGTCACCCTTGAGATGGTGGTGATGGTCTTTTCAAATAAGCCTCAGGATCTGGGCTGTTTGATGCCTTATTACAGAAGCAGGGACAAGTGGCTGCGAGGATCAGGCTCTCCCGGGGGGCCAGGAGCCCAGAAGCCAGGCCGGGCGTTCTTTGTGGCGATAGATGCGGACCAGGGTTTGCACGAGGTGATGACACACCATCTGCCCTTGAGTCTAGAGTAAGCAAGCACGGGGATCCACGGGAGGAGACCTTACAGCTGAGAAAATTCGAGCACTGGTTTAATTTTCCACACACACTGGGCAGGGGCCTTCACAGTCGATTTTGAGCAAGGGGACCCAAGTCTGTGGGGCCAGTTGTGAAGTCTGTCCAAGACTCACCTGCGTGCCCTGTCCTGGCAATTCAGCAGAAGCCAAGAAACGGCTCAACATGGAGCCCACACATAAAGCCTCTGTGTGTATCTTGAAGATCTGTGACTGTTACCAAGGCTGTTGCCCCAGCATCATACCCCTGCCCCTCCCTTGAATGGAAACCAGCTGCTCTGATCTAAGTCTCGGGAGGCAGCTGCGAAGTGAAAAAAACAACCTGTTAGAACGAACTAGGCCCAAGATGGCGGAGGATCTGCCTTCCAGTCGACCTTGAGCCTCATTATACGCTCATTGTAATGCATTAGCTGCTGAACGGCACACCCACCAGCGCCAGGACATTTGACAGTTGCCATGACAACAACCTGAAAAGCCTATACAAGGACTGGAAAGGAGAGTTGCATCAGTTCCGGGTCCAAGCCACACCCCTATTCCTGGATAAGTCAAGAGTGTACCTTCCTCTCTTCCAGATTCCCTCCCTTTCACCTCCACTCTCCTTTAGATTTGGTCTTTCCGCCCGCATTGGGTGGAGAAGTTGATTGGCAGACTAGATCCCTGCTCCTCCCTTCACTGGCCATTGAATAAAGCCTGTGCTCTTCCAGTCTCAGCATTGGTTTTGTTATCTATCAGAAAAGAACGCTCCTGGCCAAGACAGCAGGTCTCAGTCCGGGCTAGGACCCCCACAGGATCACGTGGATTCCAGAGCAAGGCAGGGGCAGGAGTCTCACCCCTGGCCTAGCCTGGGGAAGAGCTCCTCTTCAGGCTGCAGGCTGGGCCCAGGGCTTGGGGAGGCCAGGACTGCACACGTGTGACAGTGCACTTTGCAGTGAGTGGAAGCCTGGGGGCCACACCCCAGCCAGACTGCAAGGCTTCCGCTCCCTCTTGAGTTAACTGACCTCTGGCCCCAAGTTGTTTTGGGGTTTTGATTCGTTTTTGAAGCTGAAAACTTTCCTTCTCATCTGTCTATATAAAATTGGCTTTTCCCTCCTATATTCCTACCAAAAAGATAAGCTTCAGGGAATGTTAACTATAAGTCCGTCCCCTCGGATTTTGGAGTAGAACTGCTCACACACAACCCTCATTCTGGGCAGAGCTGACCGCTCTGGGCGGCCCAAGTGCAGGCCCTGCTGACCATCTCCCTGGGCAGCCTCCTCCAGCAGTGAGGCTTCCCAGGGCCAAGCCATGGATGTGGGGTGTCTGTTGGCTGGTTTTCTGCTGTGGCCTCTTTCACATACAGAAACCCAGGAGCTGCCAGGCCTCCAGCCATGTCCCTGAAGGGCTGAATGTCCATCTGGAAACAAAGTGAAAGAGGAAGGCTCCCAGGGGAGAGAGCCAGGCATGTGCTGGTCTGGCAGGGCTCTGGGTTGGGCTGTTTCCTGCCAGGTAGGCAGCAGTGAGTATTCAGTTGGCTGGGCAGGCGAGCAGGGCAGCCCTGTAAGGTGAGGCCTGAGGGGCCAGGGCATGGAGGGCTAAGAGCCAGCTGGACTGAGCAAAAGCCTGTCTGCGGGCTGGGCAGTGAGGTTTGGTGCTGGGTTCTTAAGTAGGGGTATGACCAGGCCAGTGCAGGAATGGGCAGCTGCACTGAGGTCTTCCTTCCTGCCTGAGTGTAGACAGTGGGACAGGCAGAGAGCAGACACAGGGTTGAAGGCCAAGGGCAGTGTCATCAGGGCTTTTGGTGACATCTTGGCAGGGCACAGGAGCTACCTGCATTAGTCAGCTATTGCTGTGTAAAAAATCATCCCTGAACTTAGTGGCTGTAATCATCATTATCCTTTCTCACAGTCTGTATGGATCAGGAATCCAGACAGGCCACCATGGGTCAGTTTGTCTCTGCTCCATGATGTCTGGTGCCTCAGCTGGAACCCCTGACTCATTGCTCACTGGTCTGGTGGCTGATGCTGTGGCAGCTGGGGCCCTAGGCTGAATGCCCACAGGGGGTCTCCACGTCCCCTGAGTTTCCCGTCAGTGCTGTGCCTGGGTGCCTGGTGTCAAAAGTAAAAAAAAAAAAAAAAAGAAAGAAGAAGTAAGACCAACACATTAGAAATTAGTATAAGTTTATGTGCACACACCAGAAAGACAGTTTGCAAACCCAGACCACTCAAACCAAAACAGGGAATGAGGCTCAGAGGATGTTACGAAGCAGCTTACACAGTGTGAGCACAGTGACTATGTGTCCTTTATTATGATTGGTTATAATATCGGCATTTTCTTAAATGAAAGGGAATTGGTTAGTGGTCACTTAACATCAGTTTTAGGGAACTATGTAAGTTTTGCTTACGATTTTCAGAGCCATAAGCAGGAACTGTTTCAGGTCAAGTTGACCTTCTTGTGCTGCAAAATAAGCTAAATTAAGCTTTGCTTATATGGCTGGTTTTGTCTGCTCAGGGAATTTTTTCTGGTTGTGTTTGATTTTAACACCAGGGCAAGTGTTCTGAAACAAGAATCAGGAGGAGCCACCCTCAGAACCTCAGAAGCCAGGCAGCACTGCGTCCCACATAGTCTTTTGGAGGCAGCTACAAAGGTCCACCCCGGACGGTCCACTCACTGGTGCTTGCCAGAAAGGGAAAGTCAGTAGTGCCGCCAGTAGTGTTACGGAAAACAATCTGCTATGATCAGACCCAAGAATCACTATCACGATTCAGCTCCGGAGGCTGAGAGGCTGTGGCCTCCCCCTTGCGGTGGTGGGAGACTTCTCCCAGTGAGGAGCGCGTGGGAGACGGCAGCCGCCTGGACAGAGAAGCACAGTGTGGTAGGCGGTCCCAGCTCTGAAGGGGGATTAACCCAGAGCCGTGCATCCCAGATTCCAAACCTCCAGGGGCCCAAGGTGAAGGCGGGAGGCGACGTCAGAGCACTGCTGTCCTGGGCGGGGGTGCTGCGCACTGGCCAGGTACCTGAGGGGTCTCAGCAGGCTGCCGCCTGGAAGACACGGTTGGGGCGCTCTCAGCACAGCCGCCGGCCCTCAGGGGTCCTTCTGGAGGGAACAGTGTTGGTGGAAGGAGTAAGTCCGCCCTGTGGGGCCAGCCACTCCTCCCCACCTCGCGGCACCAGGGACCCTGAGGGAGAGGGCGGGGGCGAGGCCTGGGGGCGGAATGGGGGCGCGGGGGAGAACACTCTCACTCAGAGAGGAAGCTGGGGGGCCTCGGACCACAAACACACGCTGGCGTCCGGCTCTCGGACCTGGCGAGGGATGCGAGGCCCCAGGAATGCCACCTGGGGGCCAGGCGGGTGTCGACCCCGCCCTGGCTAGGCCCGCGTGACCCC